CAGTCCGTTGGAGGGTCCTTGGAACTAGGAAGAGTCTGCAGTGGTGTCTGTCTGTGGAGAGTCTATCAAGTGCTGGACATCTGCGTTTATTTTCACTTAGAACCAGCACTCCTGCCAGGAAGGTATTCTCTTTTCCTTCTAACGCAGTGGACAGTGTGCGGCGGGCTGCACACCGTGCTCTGCAGCACCAGCATCCTTCTGAATGCGGCTCACCAGCTGGCTTTGAACAGGGACTCTCCGACCTCAGCCCCTGAGCACTAGTGCCTGGCCCCTTCTACATCTTTAGTCTGCAGAACTCGTGCGTTTGCCACATTGTACTGTTCATTTTTTTTTTTTTTTTTTGCCACATCTGCACTTGGACTGTAAGGGAGCACAGACTGGCCAGGGCATGAGCTCCGGCCAGCCGGGAGATGGGACTCCTAGACCTCCGTGCTTCTTGGGGACGCAGGTCTGGTCTGACCTCAGCTCTTGATGGGAAAGTACAGATGCAGATACAGCCGGAGACGCTCTGACACCATTTTCCTCACCAGCCCGATAATAAGTGCTAGTTAGCTTTGTTGTTTTATTTTTGCCCTGAGTCCAGAAAGCACGTTCAGTTATCAAAGTAGCCGTATACTTAGGACTTACTATAAAAACTATCCTATCTAGTGGGATTTATGTGGTAATTTTTTTTAACCTAGAAAAGTAGATATAAACTAAAGTCAGTAGAAATTACCTAAACACAGGAAGTTATAATAAATACCTGCTTTTGAAGGTTTTAAATTTAAATTTTATAGTTGTTAAATTATATCCAACAGTTGGTGTTTTAAACAGTATTACATGAGTTCTTTCATTAAAGTAAACATAGTATATTTTTTGTGCTGGAACTGGGACTTGAACTCAGGTCCTGAGTGCTATCACTTAGCTTTTTGTTTGTTTTTCCTTTCGTTGGTTGTGGGGCTTGAACTCGGCCTGGGCGCTGTCCCTCAGCTCTTCAGCTCAAGGCTAGCGCTCTACCACTTGAGCCATAGAGCCACTTGCAGTTTTCCGTTTTATTGGAGATAAGAGTTTCATGGACTTTCTTGCCCAGGCTGGCTTTGAACCATGATCCTGGATCTCAGCCTCCTGGGTAGCTAGGATTACAGGTGTGAGCCACCAGCTTCTGGCTCTTAGCATTTTTGCTCAAGGTTGGTGCTCTGCTACTTGAGACACAGCTCCCAGTTGACAAATTGGAGAAGAGTCTCACAGACTTTACTGGCTGACTTTGAACCATGATCCTCAGATCTCAGCCTCCTGAGTAGCTAGGATTTCAGGCATGAGCCCCTAGTGCCTGGCTCAAAATATACTATTTTCAAGCATGATCTTGCAAAGTTACATTTATTTAGAATAGTTGAGTTGAAGCTATCATAAGTACCTGATCTCAAGACAGATAGGGTGGGAGGAGAAAATTAAAAAAGAAGGCGAAATAAGCAGGGAGTCTGTAATGGTAAATAAATACACTACTTAACAAACCATGCGCTCAACATAAACACTACACAACAAACACATGTTCAACATATGTGAATATACTAAACACGTGACCTCAACATAAATACACTACTTAACCATGCGCTCAACATGATATACTAAATACATGCACTCAACATAAACACTACACAAAAAACACATGTTCAACATATGTGAATATACTAAACACGTGACCTCAACATAAATACACTACTTAACAAACCATGCACTCAACATAAATGAATGTACTAAACAAGCAAACACATGCGCTCAACATAAACATACTACACAACAAACACATGTGTCAACGCATGTGAATATACGTGACCTCAACATAATACACTACTTAACACATGCACTCAACATAAATATACTAAACATGTGAGCTCAACATAAATGACTAAATTTGTGACTTCAACCTAAATGCACCACTTAACAAACATGAGCTCAACATAAATATGCTCCTTAACAAACACATGAGCGTAACATAAATACACCAAACAAATGTATGAGCTCAACAAAGGTAAAGTTACTTACCAAAACACGTAAGCTCAACATAAACATACTAAGCAAACATGGTCTCAACAAAAATAAATACAATACTTAACACACATGCGCTCAACGTTAATACACTACTTAAACGGAAGCACTTAGTGCAATCGCCAGGACATGGTGACACGCCAGAATCAGGTGTTGACATGTTGGGAAGCTCCGTAGAAATCCATCAGGAATCACATGTTGTACACATTAGGAGTAACACGGTGCACTTTGCCACTTGGCGCTGTGTAAATGGTTTTAGTTTTCAGCTGGTTTGGGCTTGGTTTATTCTCGCTGTGTAGCCCAGGACCTCAAGACCATGATCCTGCCAGTACTGGGACTGGCATTACAGATGTAAAAATAACCAGATTCATCGTGCTTTATGTTTGAAAATGCTGATTTGGAGGTTTGGCTCAACCTAAAGTGTTCATGATACATGAATATTAGGCCCAGGATAACAGTCATGAATTGCTCTTAAATGACTGAAGTTGCAAGTGTTGTGTCAGATGTAGATAGCTTTTCTTTGCGTATGATGCACAGAATCCACCTGTGAATGGGCTTACATCAATGCGTGTGTGATTAGCTCCCAGAATAAGGCAGGCACAGACCACCTCAGTTTACGTGAGGCCTTTAACTGGTGCCTTATACCTGAAGCCAAGGTTGTCACCTTGCTGTACAGTTCACTGCGGCTCACCGGCTGCCTTGTGTGAACTGGCCAGTGCCAGTGTTTCACCAGGAGAAGCCACTTTCTAATCACTTGGGTGAAAACCTGAGTCCCGGGCATGTTTCAGGTCAGAGTGGCCACCTGTGCCAGGCCTCCCTGTGGCTCCTGGGCGCTTGAATCACATTACTTCTCTCTGGAGCCAACCAAGTAAGTCAGGAGAAGCAAGAAGAGTTAAGGTTTTAGTAGTTCCGCCACATGCACACCAAAATAAGCTGGCCCAACTTTTGTAAGAAATCTGATTACCAGTCATCCTGGGAATGTGCTCTCCCTGAGGACAACAGCACCAGCAACACGGGACACGCGAGCTACAGCCTCCACGGGACACGCGAGCGACAGCAACACGGGACACGCGAGCTACAGCCTCCACGGGACACGCGAGCTACAGCAACACGGGACACGCGAGCTACAGCAACACGGGACACGCGAGCTACAGCAACACGGGACACGCGAGCTACAGCCTCCACGGGACACGTGAGCTACAGCAACACGGGACATGCGAGCGACAGCAACACGGGACACGCGAGCGACAGCCTCCACAGGACACGTGAGCGACAGCAACACGGGACACGCGAGCGACAGCAACACGGGACACGCGAGCGACAGCCTCCACAGGACACGTGAGCGACAGCAACACGGGACACGCGAGCTACAGCCTCCATGGGACACGTGAGCTACAGCAACATGGGACACGCGAGCTACAGCCTCCACGGGACACGCGAGCGACAGCAACACGGGACACGCGAGCGACAGCAACACGGGACACGCGAGCGACAGCCTCCACAGGACACGTGAGCGACAGCAACACGGGACACGCGAGCTACAGCAACACGGGACACGCGAGCGACAGCAACACGGGACACGTGAGCGACAGCAACACGGGACACGTGAGCGACAGCAACACGGGACACGCGAGCGACAGCAACACGGGACACGCAAGCTACAGCAACACGGGACACGCGAGCTACAGCAACACGGGACACGCGAGCGACAGCCTCCACGGGACACACGAGCTACAGCAACACGGGACACGTGAGCTACAGCCTCCATGGGACACGCGAGCGACAGCAACACGGGACACGCGAGCTACAGCCTCGACGGGACACGCGAGCTACAGCAACACGGGACACGTGAGCTACAGCCTCGACGGGACACGCGAGCTACAGCAACACGGGACACGTGAGCTACAGCCTCCATGGGACATGTGAGCTACAGCAACACGGGACACGCGAGCAACAGCAACACGGGACACGTGAGCGACAGCAACACGGGACACGCGAGCGACAGCAACACGGGACACGCGAGCGACAGCAACACGGGACACGCGAGCTACAGCAACACGGGACACGCGAGCTACAGCAACACGGGACACGCGAGCTACAGCCTCCACAGGACACGTGAGCTACAGCAACACGGGACATGCGAGCGACAGCAACACGGGACATGCGAGCAACAGCAACACGGGACACGCGAGCGACAGCAACACGGGACACGCGAGCTACAGCAACACGGGACACGCGAGCTACAGCAACACGGGACACACGAGCTACAGCAACACGGGACACGCGAGCTACAGCAACACGGGACACGCGAGCTACAGCAACACGGGACACGCGAGCTACAGCCTCCATGGGACACGCGAGCTACAGCAACACGGGACACGCGAGCTACAGCCTCCACAGGACACGTGAGCTACAGCAACACGGGACACGCGAGCTACAACCTCCACGGGACACGCGAGCTACAGCAACATGGGACACGTGAACTGCCCCGGCTTCACTGCTGTGTTCAGTCTGTGGCCACTTCTGCATGCAGCAGCTGTGGGCACGGGCTGTGTCCCTAGACAAGTCTTCAGTGAGTGATGTGGACAACCCTCTGTCTGCACAGTGAGACCAAACAGCAACACTCCATGGAGTCATCTTGAAAACTAGTTGAAAAGCGTTTTGTGAGTGCAGCCTTCCCACCTCCCTCACGCGGCATCTTGTTCTCGTGTCCACGTCGACACTGGCCATCTGTGCCCACACCACGGCTCTGCATGCGGTCCCTGCTGTCTATCACCACTGAGACCGTCTCTTTCTTTGTAGGATCAGAATCACGGGTTTTTCTGTCTCTAACGCCTAAGTTGTTCCAACCATTGGATCTTTCCAGATCCAGAACTATATCCCGGAAGAATTGCCAGTGCTGGCAGGACCCTTCCATGCCCGGCCCGCCGTGGGTGGTGGAGGCCCTCAGCACATCAGATTCCCAAAGACATGACTGTATTGCAAAATGTACAGCATTTATTCACATACAGACAAAAAGGCACAATTCTACTAAATAGTTCAACAAAAAATACAGTTGTCCTCAACTAGTTTTATAAATACTTTCAAAAAGGGGGTAGAAATAAATACAGGACTGGGCCGTGTAATATAAAATAGTCATCTCTACATAGACTTTGTTTAATTTCTGATTTGTAGCTCTTCATGCACCTCTTTTTTTTTTCAATTCAGTTGAATGGACACCAAGCTAGGCACATAGTGAAAAATCCTCTGTACAAGGTTACAAATGTAATGACAAGTTTGTCCATTTTAAAATAATTTAGATTTGTACACAACACATAAAACCGTCATTTAAGTCCTGTGTTTATAACCTAACAAATGACACTCCAGGCAACTTTACAAAAGCTTAACTAGCCTACATTTTGACATAATACATTGATCATAATCAAAGGTATTTCTTGGTCAGGATGCACAAGGGAAAAAGAAAAAGCCAACGGTTCCAATGCTAATAGGGCGCAGTGGGTCGCTGGGCGGCTGCTGCAGAGTTCCCAGCGACAAGGCTGCCACCTACTGTCCGGAGACCGCACACCACTGGCATTTCAGAGCAGGACTATAAAGTATGGACTTTATTTCTGTGTTTTGTTTTTTTTTTTTTTGTGGGTTTTTTTCTTTTGTTTTTTGGTTCAGCATAACTTGGAACATTTGAAAGCTTTTCAACCTAAATGTGGGGGAAAACAGGTAAGGCATTTTTTTTTGCACAAAACTAGCATTCCTAAATAGTGCAAATGAGTCTGGTACCTCTGAGTGGTGAGAGGCCATACACTACATTAATTTAGACTTTCTTTCTATGGCTTCACAGATTACCCCTCTACAACCCTCCTCTCACCGAGAGCTGTCATCAAAAGACAACTGCGGTGGAGTCCAACCTTCTCCTCTGTCCAGAAGGGTTTTGCTCGTATGCAAAAATTACCAAAAAAAATCCATAAATTATGCTACTAGCAAACGTGCAACTTGGATAAGACCCTCCGCCGCCTACAGCAACAGCTACTTAGGACAGCAGTCTCTTGAAATGAGCCTCAGGGCTCAAAAGCAGTCTGTCTAAAAACCAGTCTTTCCCCTCCCCTGAATGAGCTACAGTGTACTTGGAAAAGTGAAGACTTGGTTTGAACATGTCAAACACACAACAGGGATGCGCCAGATCTGCTATCCAATCATCTGGTAAAACTTGCATAGCAAGACAGAGCTCACAAAGCTTGCGGTTGACAGTCACCTGGAAGACTCGACAGTGAACCACAGTGCTCGGAGCATCACTCCTAAGCAGCAGAACCGCTCTGCCAATGAGGACAGACATGTAAATGAACCAGGAGGGCAGGCGCTGGCACTGACGGACTGTGGGGCAGTGTGGGGGACGCTGGGCTGGCTCCCGACGCCCGTACTTCTAAATCTCATTGCTGCTTAAGCTTCCCGTAAGTTTGACTCACAACGACATTGAATTCCAAAGAAAATTAACAGGACCTTAACACTACCCAGTATCTGAATACATATGCACTACAACATTGTTCTCAAATTTAATGCTAAACTTATTATTGCTGATAACTTACTAGTTATTGCCATTTGCAATTAGAAAGTCCAAGTTACAAATAAGAACTCTGACCCCAAAAACCTATTCCTGGGTGCATTTCAACCTCTTGTCTATATAACTAGGTCAATGGTAAGAGCTTATTGCAACTTATTGCCTTTCTATAGGTTTAAAATATAACCTCACTTCTTGTTTTCCTCAGGGAACCTATTCGTGATGGAGGCCCGGGTTCCCTGACGCGCACTAGTGATTGGCTCTGGGGAGTGAGTGACCGCAAACGACCACTGGAGGGTAGAAGGCAAAGGTGCGGGCCGTGGCCAAGGACACCCCGTGCCAGGAGAGAACTGTGAGAACTGTCTCAGGGCCATGCGCGGGCTCCCTGACTCCCCAAGCCCTGTGGCACTGCCCACGCCCAGCCCTCCAGAAGCCCCTTCCTGCCAACTCTGCTGATGCGGGGTGCAGGGGGGTCCCAGAGCTGCTGCCTGCACACTATCAACGCAACAAGAATGGCCTTGGGGCCAGAGTGATTGTAAAATCGACCCGTCCTAGGAATACACCTCAGGGCTGTACGTGCGTGGCGCCCTGGTCTCCACAGGGTGTCAGTCCATTCTGCAGAACTAGATAGGATTCTGTACATTCAGGGAACCCAGAGTTTGTGCTTTGGAAGAATGCAGAGGGCAAGAAGCACAGTATGCAGAGGCTTACTGAAGCCTTGCCTTCTTGTAACCCTTAACACTCAGCTTCTGACCTTAGCTGTCCTGCGTTAGTCTACTCTTCTGTTTTCTCAACAAGTTGCTAATAACACAAACTTCTCACAACAGTGATTTATAAATGACTCTGAAAAAAAAACCCAATCTGAATTGTAAGTAAATGTGTGTGTAGCCCGGGAATCGGGGGGTCTGTCCCCCTCGGCCATCAGGAGGCCAAGATGCTCCTCCGGATGAAGTCCGCCCTCCTGCCCAGGGGGCCGCTGGCCTGTGGACACTTCTTCTCCGATGCTTCGCCCTCAGAGTCACTTAGTTCTACGTCTGGGGCGTACCCGTCATTCTCGTGGTCAGATTTTAATTTGCTCTTAGCCCGGTCCTTGGCCGGTGCCCGGCCCAGGCTGAGGTACGGGCAGTCTGTGTGCTGGTGGCCAGGCCCCTCAGGGGCCTCTCCCTGCTGCGGCCGCTCCCCCTTCTTTGGAATCCGGAATCCGCCCCAGTTTTTCACCGGGCTGGCAGGTGTGGTAGGCACTTGGGCTGCAGTCTGGGAACCGCCGGCTCGGAGCAGGGAGCCATTGCACCTGGGCACGCCCTCCCTCCGGGCGCCAGGCGCCCACTGCCCCGCCCCGGGCAGAGTGGCCATGCGGGGGCTGCCCGGGTGCCTCTGGGATGAATCTGTGGACCTGAGAGGCTTGTGACTCGGTTTCAAAGGCCTGTCCTTCAAGTCGCCTTTAATGAGGTCACAATGAAAGCGATTGTCTCTCCGTTTCCCATGGTCTGGCGGCGCAACCCCATTTTTCTCTTGTGCTGATGATAGGAAGCGTGCATCTGCAAAGGTCTTTTCAAAGTTCAGAAAGCCGCCTGGGGCCCCCAGCCCGCCCCGCCCCCCGGCCAGGCCCGGCCGTCCAAGGGAGGCCTTGCCCATGCTCCCAGGTCTCAGCGGGTCTCGTTTATGGAGCTTCTTCAGCGACGGGGCCAAGGATGCGCCCATCTGCTTCCTGAAGAAGGCCGAATGCCACGTCAAGTCCTCTATGGTGGGAGTGCCAGGACCCACAGGACTGTTAAACAAAAGCATGTTTTCCAGGGAGGAGGAGGATGCACAGGAAGAAGGCACACCTGTGAACACACAAGCACAAAGGCAAGTCCAAAGCAATCCTGGACCTAAGTGTCACCCGCTCCACGCACACTTCCGACCCACCAGTGTAAATCGGTCAGCCTGTCTGTAAAAACTGGTTTCTAGTTAGGAGAATCCAGATCAATACATGCTCAGTATTCTAGATTCTTCCAGCTACAATTCATATGGTCCTTCGTGAAGCTACCTATTCAAGGACTACCCTTTCCTGCAAACAGAGGAAAGTTCAGCAGGACCCCCTGAATTCAGCAGGACCCCCTGAGATTCAGCAGCACCCCCTGGCCAGGCACTCACTGCCTCCCGCCTGCCCGCCCCACCACCCCAGACCCGCAGGAGGACCAGGCAGCCTGCCCGTCCCCCCCAGTGCCTCTCACACGTACGTGTGACTGTGTGAGGCAAACAGCGGTGCTGAACAGTTCTTTACAGTTAGAGGGGATCTTTTGTGCTTTGTTTCTTAAAGCCACCATCACTATGTACAAAATCTATCAGTGGGATTCAACTGCACTGACACCTGAGCTGAGAATGACTTAACACTGTCTTCTGAGGTGAATCACAGCGAGAACTAAATTCCGTAACACTAGCAGAACTTCCTTTCTTGCGACATCACGTGTCATTGCATGTTGTGTTTGTTTGCCTCGAGTCATGCCCCAGTGAACGGCCTCACCCCGCGAGTGGGCGGGCCTGAATTCCTTCCTGCAAGAGCCTCCTGCCACCCAAAGCACAGCACTCCTGTGCTCCTTCCTATGAGAAAGGCTCAGACCCCCCTGCACAACAGTTCTCTATACAACAACTAGTGCCCGTCACGACAGGTGCGCCGTGGTGACCACACGGTGTGGTCCTATCTGCCAGGCCACTGGCTCGGCTTCAGTGCCACACCTAACGTACATACTTCCTTATTTCTGACACTTGGCACCACAGAAAAACAGAATGGAGACCAGTGATTCTTAAACAGGGTGTCCGTCTGCAGATCTCTGACACCCTTATCCAGGAAGGTCCTCACAGGGAAGGCATCTCACCTCAGGCACCACAGTCCCCAGTGGGGAAGGTGCAGAGCCACCCTGGGGGTCTCCTGTGCTCCACAGGCCGTGCACGAAGGCGTGGGGAGAGCCACTGCCCACAGCACCTACAACGGCCATCTCAGGACAGCAGCCTTGGGAGAAACACCACTTGCTCACACAAGTAAAACCCTCGCCTTGAAATGCAGAACATCCTGCCTGCAGTGTCCACAGGGACCTCCGAGGAACACTTAGTACTCGCTTTGACAGACAGGTCAAGAAGACCCTGAGGGACACTCGGAGCTCACCTCCACAGGACAAGACCCTGAGGAACACTCAGAGCTCACCTCCACAGGACATCAAGACCCAGAGGGACACTCGGAGCTCACCTCCACAGGATAACAAGACCCTGAGGAACACTCGGAGCTCACCTCCACAGTCACCTCCACAGGACAACAAGACCCTGAGGAACACTCGGAGCTCACCTCCACAGGACAGTAAGACCCTGAGGGACACTCGGAGCTCACCTCCACAGTACAGTAAGACCCTGAGGAAAACTCGGAGCTCACCTCCACAGGACAGTAAGACCCTGAGGGACACTCGGAGCTCACCTCCACAGGACAAGACCCTGAGGAACACTCGGAGCTCACCTCCACAGGACAACAAGACCCTGAGAGACACTCGGAGCTCACCTCCACAGTCACCTCCACAGGACAAGAGCCACAGAGGCACAACCTAGAAGGAGCCCAGGCAACACTAAGCCAAGAAGGAATAAGGGAAAGGAGAGCTGGAAGCTGAAGAATCAGAACTGAACATCTTTCCTAAACACACTACGAGGAACAACTTCCTAAGAGCTTTGCCAGTCAACTCCAAGGTCCAGCTAATGATGTGGGTAGGCTACATATGGAAAATACCTAGTCCTGGCCAGGAAAGATCTAAAATAGTGTCAATAAGTCAATGCTGTTAAAATGGTGTCACATATCAAGATTAAAACTCAGCCGACCTGTTTAGCCGACCAAGGCTATTCACAAGGATAAAGTTAATTCGTGTTTGCTGTTTCTGCCTGTCATAATAATCTCAATGCAGAAACAGAACTGCACAAATGCAGAAAAGTAGAAGTCAACGGTGACTAACGCAAGTGCAAACAAGGACACTGCTCCAACTTAGTTCAGTCCAGGGCAGAGACACTCAACTCTTCAGAAGGCAGGCCAGACCTGCCTACCACTTCCACACTCTTCCAGCCCTACTTTTGGGGACTTGCACTTGCAGAATGCTGGTCACAGCGTAAGCCTTTCCTACAGATGAAAAGAATCCAAGATGGGTCAAGATGCCCCACTCCTGCTTGGCCCCCAGAACTCCGTGCTGTCTCCTGTATTACTGGTCAACCCAAAGGCTGGGCTGATGTTTAAATATGAGTCAGGCTCTGCAATATCTGACTCTGGTCTCAAGACAGCTTCAACACGAAGCTTGCTGTACCCCCATTCTACACAGAGGAGAGTGGAAAGACAAGATTTGTGCTTGATCAGTACAAGGGGACTCACCCCCCCCCCTCCCGTGGGAGACTCCCTTAACATGGGGTCTCAATGACTTCCTTGATGAAAATCAGTACTTCTTAAATTTTTTATGGGAAGAAAAAGGACAGACCATTTTTCCTTTAACAGTACTAAGGCTTACAAACATCCGCCCTGCCTTTTAGCCAAGAAGACTCAGTGCATACCTGGAACTCTTTCTTTCTCCAAGAGCTTAGTGTAAAGACTGAATATCTGCTCCTGGACTCTGCACACCGACCGTTTCATCTTTTCCCTGCGTGTGACCATGTACGTGAGGTTCCGCACCTGAACGCAGAGAAAAAAAGATTCCACGTGAGCAACAGCAGCAGCAGTGCCTTGGGGTTCATTTCAGCCGAGAAAACTCGGGCTAGCCTTTCACCCCATCTTTAGCTTTTTGGCAACAAGAAGTCCAGTTGTTTCCCTTGGTGCTGCACCGCCCTGACACCGAGCCGCCCGCAGAGGCGCGCTCCTCCGCCAGGATCTGCTCCTGCCCTCGCCCGCCTGCAGGTTCTCCCCTGGGCTCTACGGCCACGGCCTTCAGAGGACTCGGAAGCCACCACTGTGCTTTCTGAAGAAGAGGCCCCCAGCCCAGCCCCCTCTACCACCCAACTGTCACAGTTCAAGTGAGCCATTGTCCACGGGGCGTGACAAACAGCTGGCGGCTGTGTGCACAGCAAGGCCCAGGCGCCCCGCGTCACCAGATAGGACCACACATCACTAGCCACACGGAACCCAAAGCTAAGGCTTCAGCCACTAAGCGCCGCGGATGCCAGGCTCCTGCATCTTCATGAGCCCAGAGCACACAGCATGACAGCGCCGTGTGAACAGGACCGCAGTTATCTCCGCGATGGGTCCACCCTCCTGCCTCCCGGGGGGAAAAGGTCAAAGGCCACTGTGCCTTCTTTCGGTCACAGGGGCGCCACGGCCTGGACGCACTGCGGGCCTCCCAGCTCGCTCCTCTCGTTTCTGCAGACCCCCTGCACACTACTCAGGCACTGGCTTCTCCCACGGGTGACGGAGCATGGTCCCGGCCGCCCCACCGCCTCCTCAGAGGAGCGAGGGGAGCTGGTGTTGCTATCTTTGGGCCTGGTCAGTTCCTGCTCCCAGACACACCCCAAAGCCAGGAGGGGAACAGGACAGGAGCCCGGCGGCGGCGGACAGGAGGGGCCCCGCCAGAGCCGCATCTCCTGTGAGTTTGCCACAGGACGGACTTGAGAGACGCATGGGAAGCTTGACCCTATGGTACTTCACTGCGGGCTACGGCCGCTCCCGAGGCACCCGCCCGCATACCCGCCTCAAGCAGGTCACCGTTCCCAAACCACGCCATGTCCTGACCATACTTCTCCCTGAAGCACTAGTTTGCAAACACCTGACTGCACTGCTAATGAATTTTCCGGAATTGCCCGAAGAACTACCCGGAAGGTAGTTCCTACAGGTCACAGCATGACCCCAACCCATCCATGTTCAAGGCCATGGTGTCCAGCTCCTCACATGTGACCCGAGCACAGGACTGCCTGGCCCTTCTGAACCCCTGGCCAAACATCACTCTCTGAGCCATTCACTGTGTCTTTTCAAAAGGGCCTTAAGGGGCGCTCCAGGCAGGAAGGCGGCCGTGGGGCTCAATGTGTTCACTACCACGCAGATCCGTTCCTATCTTACGGAGTTGTGTCTGTGCTGGGAAGAAGGGCCATGCCCTGAGCCATGTGGGCAGAACTCCAAGGACTGAGACAAGTCCCCTGCCTCACAGTTAGTTCTCACTGTCACCGCTGCCCTGATTAGCCCTTGGTCTGACATGCGTGCTGTTCATAATTACAACGAGCACTGCCCTCTCTGGGGCAGAGTTCAACTTTTTAGAGCCGCTGCTATCACAGCACGATGGCAAATTTCAGGAAAGCGCAACTTCCAGTACCGTAAGCAACCGATGCTGAATCCCCTAACATCTGATTTTTTTAATAAGACAAATACAAGTAATACCACACACACGCACACACAAATCCTGATTTATTCCCTGTTTCATACATCATAGGCATTCTACTTAGAAAGCAGCAGTGACTCCAAAAATAGTTCAGAATTTAATTGTGAGTGCATGTTCTTAAATACAGAGAAGAGTTAGTACACCACAGGCATTTTCTACACTTTTATTTTGTGGTGATTGAGACAGACACAGCTCAAACACGAGACTTCTGCCCTCCCTCCCCGAGCCGAGCTGGGCCGGGCCGCACTGCCGGGCCGGCCTCAGCCCCGGGCATCACAGGAGCCACGGGCCTGCGAAGGGGTCTTCCCTGGCCTCACCACCAGGGGGCCTCACCCTGGGGTCTCTGCAGGACAGAGGCCTAGGGGCCAGGGGTGGCAGCACTGTGGACCCATCTCCAGGCCAGCCAGGTTCTGGGAGGTCTAGACAGCTCGTCTGCTCTGCCCTGCGGCCCAGCCTCTCATCTCCACATCTGAGCAGACTCCCAGGGAGGGTGCACACCCCACTAGCAAGCCAGGGTTTGGGGGCCCTTCACTGTTTCAGTCCGCCCCAGGCCGGAAAACGCCATGCCATCCTGGCCACACTAATGAATTAATGGTAGCCGACAGCCCGGGGGGGGGGGGGGGGGGGGGCGTGGCGTGGGGGAGTTTCTAGAACCAGTGAGCCCAGGCAGAAAGAGGAGACCCTGGGAAGGGAGCCAGCCCAAGTGGGAAGGAGTTTCACGCAGACCCCGAAGGCCAGGAGAACCGGGGGTACAAAGCAGCACACACATGCACAGTGCCGGCATCCATGGCTGCAGCTGCGCAGCGGAACACACAAGTATCAGCAGCACACAGTGGAGCACAACTGCCAGGCCTCTGGCTAGCACCAAGGCCTGTGCCAGGAGTCACACACCCGCAACACCAGACTCAGTGCGTGCCTGTACGCAGTGTACACACACCACACACATGCACGTGTACTGCACACATCCCACATGCATAGTGCATACACACAGTGTATACACACTGCACACACACAACGTGCACACCACACACACATACACACTGCATGGCGCATACACATGGTACACTCAGACACACGGCATACATACACTGTACACATACCACACACACCTACTGCAGTGTATACTGTGCACACACACATACTGCATACACACTACACACACACCATACACATCATATGCACACACATACTGCATACACATGGCGTGTGCCACTGCTCACGGATGCATAATGCAACGCGGTGTGTACATTATGCATGCACACACACTACATACATACACGGCACGCACACCATACACACATCATACACACATGCATACTGTATACACACGGTGTATATATGAACTGTACACACACCTGCATGCATTGTACACACGCACATATGCTGCATGCACAGTGTATATGCACTGTACATGCGCACATATGCACGGTGCACCACATGCACGCATCATATGCATGCACATATACACAGTGTATACACAGTACACATGCATACTGCATACACATGGTGTATAAACATTGTACACACGCTATACCCACACGTGTATACTGCGTAGTGTATACACAGTAGACACACGCTGCATACATACTGTACGTACACACTGAACACACACTGTACTCACGCCACACACCATGTGTATATACACACACCGTGCATACACAGCAAGAATGCAGCCTCTGTGAGGACACGGCAGCCTGTCAGGAGTGTCCTCACAAACATGCACACAGGTCGGCGCCCTCAGCCTGCTCCGCTCACAGTGGTGCTGGGGCCGAGGCGGGGAGCGGAGCCTGGTGCCCCTTGCAGGCCTCTCCCCGGCTGCACAAGTCATCCCCTACTCCTGCCCCCCACTCACAAGTGAAACCCGTCCTAGTTGTCAAAGTTAGTCTGTAAACATTCTGAGTCAACCCTTGGTCATTTTCCTGGGGTTCAGTCCCCTCTGGAAAAAGAGGGTAAAGAAAGGAACGCCCTCTGATCTTGCCAACAGTAAAGGTGAAGGGAGAGTGTCTAAGAATCACAGAGAAGCCCGCCAGAGCGGCGGCGGCGGCAGCGCACCAGCGCAGGGAGTGGCCGCCCGCCACCGCACTAGACCGCAGGACCTGGTGCGTGGTGCGCACAGGTCACCATGAGGACTGGCTATCACCTCTTGCTCTGGCGAGCCCGGCCTCTGCATCCTCGTCGCTAGGTCACTACAGGGTGTCGGAGTCGATCATTACCCGCTCCAGGTCCTGCCGCAGGTGCGTGAACAGCTGCAGCCTCCTAAACAAGACGTCCTGCTCGCGCTTGGCCAGATTGTCCTCCTCGTCTTTCTTTGGGGTGATGAGGGGCTTGTTGAAATTGACCTTCCTCTTCAGCTTCCAGTACTGGTACAGGAAATCCACCACCGCCTCCGGCAGCCTCAGGGCCCTGGCCACGTCCAGCAGGTTGACGAAGGTGTAGAACTCGTCCTCCAGCTGCTGCAGCTTCTGCTTGCGGACGCTGGTGCGGTGGGCTTCGTCACGCTGCTGCCCAGGGCCGGTGAGGGCCTCCAGGGGGCTCCGGGGAGCCCCGTTCTCCGCGGGCCCCGCCCCAAGGCTCTCCTCGGGCTTCCGGTGCGAGCTGTGCTTCGGGCAGTAGGACTTGAACTTGACTTCATCGTTGTCTGCCAGGATGGTCTTCATGTCCAGGCCGCGGTCAAAGGCGCAGGTGACGTGGAAGGCTGTGCGGCAGTTCTTCACCGAGCACTGCAGAGAGCGTGCAGAGGAGAGACTTACCGAGCGACCACAGCAAAGGCACGCACGTACACACAGCCACACCCCGGGGCACCCCACACGCATGTCATACCTGACACCACACATGTGCACGTCACACATCACATGCTACGTCACGCCTGACACCACGCATGCGCACGTCACACATCACATGCTACGTCACGCCTGACACCACACATGTGCACATCACATGCTACATCACACCTGACACCACGCATGTGCACGTCACACATCACATGCTACGTCACGCCTGACACCACACATGTGCACATCACATGCTACGTCACACCTGGCACCACACATGTGCACATCACATGCTACGTCACACCTGACACCACACATGTGCACGTCACACATCACATGCTACGTCACGCCTGACACCACACATGTGCACATCACATGCTACGTCACACCTGACACCACGCATGTGCACGCACATCACACCATCACATGCTACGTCACACCTGACACCACACATGTGCACGTCACACATCACATGCTACGTCACACCTGGCACCACGCATGTGCACGCACGTCACACCATCACATGCTACGTCACACCTGACACCACACATGTGCACGTCACACATCACATGCTACGTCACACCTGGCACCACGCATGTGCACGCACGTCACACCATCACATGCTACATCACACCTGACACCACGCATGTGCACATCACACATCACACCATCACATGCTACGTCACACCTGACACCACACATGTGCACGTCACACATCACATGCTACGTCACGCCTGGCACCACGCATGTGCACGTCACACATCACATGCTATGTCACGCCTGACACCACACATGTGCACGCACGTCACACCATCACATGCTACGTCACGCCTGACACCACACATGTGCACGCACATCACACCATCACATGCTACGTCACACCTGGCACCATGCATGCGCATGTCACACATTACATACTACATCACACCTGACACCACGCATGTGCACGCATGTCACACCATCACACTCCGGCACCCATGCATGCACATGCACAGTGGCAGCAAAGTGAACCCTGGCAGGCTTTCAGTGAAGCAGAACCTGGAGAAAAGGGAACTCGCATGTGGAGGCTTCCTAACCACAAAAACCACCAGTAGCTTGAAACAACTCAAGTATAAACTGAGGACCAGGGGCTGGGAGGTGGCTCAGTGGTAGAGTGCTTGCCTTGCATGCCTGAGGCCCTGGGTTTGATTCCTGAGCTGAAGAGCTGAGGGACAGCGCCCAGGCCCTGAGTTCAGGCAGGACCTCATGCCTGCTCAGCTTGCTCGCTCAGCTAGCACTCTGCACTTGAGCCACGTCTCCAGACCGGCGTTTTTCCAGATGGCCCTGAGGATCGTCACGCCCACCTGGCCGCCTTCACACCCGGAGCTGACGGCCGGCCGGGGGCTCAACATGCTCCACATCACCTTGTACTTCGTACATTTTGGCTTTGGGTTTTATGACAAACCTCAAGCATCTTCTACGGACAGGTATGTGCCAGCCAGGGGTCCTCACGGGCCACGAACACGGGTAGCCCCAGGGACCGTGGCTGAGGATGGCAAACATTCCTTCCCTCACAGGGAAAGGGTGGCAGGGCTCAAAGAAACCCATCCTCACCACAAAAACAACATCCCAGCCTAAGTGTGTTGAAAAGGGGGGAGAATGGGAAAGTAATGGAGTGAAGTTGATCAGAAGTACATTGTGTGGAAGGACGCTTTATACAGTACATGTTAGTGTAGAGACTGCTCAGAAGGGAGAGGCAGAGAGGTAAGAGCGGCAGCGAGAGAGAGAGAGAGAGAGAGAGAGAGAGAGAGAGAGAGAGAGAGAGAGAGAGAGAGAGAGTGGCATGGGGGGAGGGAGAGGTAGAGGACACAGCCCCAGGGGTGAGGAGGAGGCGGGGCACTGGGGCCAGGGAGGCCAGGGCAAAGACGGCACCCGCCCACCACCCGCCTGCCACGGGGAGCCAGCCAGGAGTCAGCCCGGGCTCAGGGAGCTGTGCGCCTAGCGCCACCCCTCTGCCTGGGCGGGGCTGCCAGGTGCCCCAGTGCAGCAGCCCTGCCCAGCCAGCGTGAGGTGACTCGGCTCCCGTGCCCCTCGGCCTCAGGAGGAGGCCGACCCAACCCGGGTGAGCACAAGCACCTAGCCCGGGAAGGCTGCAGAGAGGGAGCCCACTCGGCACCCCAAACCCAGAGCCATGGGACACGGGACACTGTCTGCCCCTATCCTTCAGTGTCAGAGACACTGAAAACCTAGCCCTTCATTCTGCTTTTAGCACTCAGCCCAGAGAACCTGGAGAAATACCTGCTGTGCAACCCACAACTAACAACAGCTTCAAGCGGGTGAGGCAACATCAGTGGCAGAACACACTCACCTGGCCAGGCCCCGCTCAGCACACAACACTGACACACCCGGCCAGGCCCCGCTCAGCACACAACACTGACACACCCGGCCAGGCCCCGCTCAGCACACAACACTGACACACCCGGCCAGGCCCCGCTCAGCACACAACACTGACACACCTGGCCAGGCCCCGCTCAGCACACAACACTGACACACCTGGCCAGGCCCCGCTCAGCACACAACACTGACACACCTGGCCAGGCCCCGCTCAGCACACAACACTGACACACCTGGCCAGGTCCCGCTCAGCACAGCTGCAGCCACAGGAATGGAAGCTGGCGCTAGCCGGAGCCCATCTGTGCCTGGCTTTGAGCTGCACTAATGCAAGTGTGCTAACCATCAAGAGAAAGGAGCTGCAGCAGCCCTGCGCTAGTGGCCCCTGGGCTTTCCTGTTCAGCAGACAGATGGAAGCACAGCCCCCCCCCAGCTGCAGACAGACAGACAGACAGATGGAAGCACAGCCCCCCAGCCGCAGACGTGCAGACAGACAGACAGATTTCCGGAAGCACAGCCCCCCAGCTGCAGACAGACAGACAGACGGATGCATAGCCCCCCAGCTGCAGACAGACAGACAGACAGATGGAAGCACAGCCCCCCAGCCGCAGAAAGGCAGACAGACAGATGGAAGCACAGCCACCCAGCTGCAGACAGACAGACAGACAAATGGAAGCACAGCCACCCAGCTGCAGACAGACAGACAGACAAATGGAAGCACAGCCCCCCAGCTGCAGACAGACAGACAGACAGACAGATGGAAGCACAGCCACCCAGCCGCAGACGTGCAGACAGACAGACAGACAGATGGAAGCACAGCCCCCCAGCTGCAGACAGACAGACAGACAGATGGATGCATAGCCCCCCAGCTGCAGACAGACAGACAGACAGATGGAAGCACAGCCACCCAGCTGCAGACAGACAGACAGACAGACAGATGGAAGCACAGCCCCCAGCTGCAGAAAGACAGACAGATGGAAGCACAGCCCCCCAGCCGCAGAAAGACAGACAGACAGATGGAAGCACAGCCACCCAGCTGCAGACAGACAGAAAAATGGAAGCACAGCCCCCAGCCACAGACAGACGGAAGCACAGCCACCCAGCCGCAGACAGACAGATGGAAGCACAGCCACCCAGCTGCAGACAGACAGACAGATGGAAGCACAGCCCTCCAGCTGCAGACAGACAGACAGATGGAAGCACAGCCACCCAGCCGCAGACAGACAGACAGATGGAAGCACAGCCCTCCAGCTGCAGACAGACAGACAGACAGATGGAAGCACAGCCACCCAGCCACAGACAGACAGATGGAAGCACAGCCCTCCAGCTGCAGACAGACAGACAGACAGATGGAAGCACAGCCATCCAGTTGCAGACAGACAGATGGAAGCACAGCCCTCCAGCTGCAGACAGACAGACAGATGAAAGCACAGCCACCCAGCCGCAGACGTGCAGACAGACAGACAGATGGAAGCACAGCCCTCCAGCTGCAGACAGACAGACAGACAGATGGAAGCACAGCCCCCAGCCACAGACAGACAGACGGAAGCACAGCCACCTAGCTGCAGACAGACAGACAACAGACAGATGGAAGCACAGCCCCACAGCCGCAGACAGACAGACAGACAACAGACAGATGGAAGCACAGCCCTCCAGCTGCAGACAGACAGACAGACAACAGACAGATGGAAGCACAGCCCTCCAGCTGCAGACAGACAGACAGATGGAAGCACAGCCCCCCAGCTGCAGAAAGACAGACAGACAGACAGACAGACAGATGGAAGCACAGCCCCCCAGCTGCAGACAGACAGACAGATGGAAGCACAGCCACCCAGCTGCAGACAGACAGACAGACAACAGACAGATGGAAGCACAGCCCCCCAGCCGCAGACAGACAGACAGATGGAAACACAGCCACCCAGCTGCAGACAGACAGACAACAGACAGATGGAAGCACAGCCCCCCAGCTGCAGACAGACAGACAGATGGAAGCACAGCCCCCCAGCTAGAGAAAGACAGACAGACAGATGGAAGCACAGCCCCCCAGCTGCAGAAAGACAGACAGACAGATGGAAGCACAGCCACCCAGCTGCAGACAGACAGACAACAGACAGATGGAAGCACAGCCCCCCAGCTGCAGACAGACAGACAGATGGAAGCACAGCCCCCCAGCTGCAGAAAGACAGACAGATGGAAGCACAGCCCCCCAGCTGCAGAAAGACAGACAGACAGATGGAAGCACAGCCCCCCAGCTGCAGAAAGACAGACAGACAGATGGAAGCACAGCCCCCAGCCACAGACAGACAGACAGACAAATGGAAGCACAGCCCTCCAGCTGCAGACAGACGGACGGAAGCACAGCCACCCAGCCACAGACAGACAGACAGACAGATGGAAGCACAGCCCCCCAGCTGCAGACAGACAGACAGACAGACAACAGACAGATGGAAGCACAGCCCCCCAGCCGCAGACAGACAGACAGATGGAAGCACAGCCACCCAGCTGCAGACAGACAGACAGATGGAAGCACAGCCCTCCAGCTGCAGACAGACAGATGGAAGCACAGCCACCCAGCCGCAGACAGACAGACAGACAGACAGACGGACGGAAGCACAGCCACCCAGCCGCAGACAGACAGACAGACAGACAGATGGAAGCACAGCCCTCCAGCTGCAGACAGACAGACAGATGGAAGCACAGCCCCCAGCCACAGACAGACAGACAGATGGAAGCACAGCCACCCAGCCGCAGACAGACAGACAGACAGATGGAAGCCCAGCCCTCCAGCTGCAGACAGACAGACAGACAGACAGATGGAAGCCCAGCCCTCCAGCTGCAGACAGACAGACAGACAGACAGACAGACAGATGGAAGCACAGCCCTCCAGCTGCAGACAGACAGATGGAAGCCCAGCCCTCCAGCTGCAGACAGACAGATGGAAGCCCAGCCCTCCAGCTGCAGACAGACAGATGGAAGCACAGCCCTCCAGCTGCAGACAGACAGACAGATGGAAGCATAGCCGCAGACATGCAGACAGGAACTGACAAAACGACTCTAGGAAGACACATCGCTTTTCCTTCAAACACATGTTCTGGGAAAGTGAGTCAATCAGGAACATAAGGCAATCGATGGCAAGAAGAAGGTGGACTGGCCAGAGCCCTCAGAGGAGAAGCAAGCGGCTCCGCCTGCCGCCAGCTCACCAGAGGGTGGTGGCTTGTCCTTAGTCCGCGGTGCTTGTCCCCAAGTAACACAGTGTCTAAACTCTCTCTTCCATTCTCCGTTGCCCAACCCACTCTCAGGCAGAGGTACTGGTAATCTTAGTTCATAACAGATTCTCCTGACACCCAAGTCCCCAAGCCTCTGGATATTTCTGCGAAGGTTTCAGACCCTCAAACACCAGGAGATGGCAGTTACAATAAGTGGAATCTCTGGGGTTGTTAGGAAGGAGGAAGGAGGAAGGAGGAAAAAGGAGAGGGAGGAGGGAGGTAGAGAGAGAAAACTGGACACAGTGGCTCACGCCTCTAACCCTTGCTACCTGGGAGGCTGAGGTCAGGAGGATCGTGGTCTGGGGCTGGCCCCACAGCTCAACCATTGAAAGAAGCTGGTGTGGCGGCGCCCCTGTGACCCTAACTGCAGAAAGCCGAGCAGGACCCATGGAGGCCAGCACAGGCGCAAGCTGGGACCCTGACCACAAAGTCGTGAAGGGGAACAAGGGGCCTGGCTCGAGGGGTGGCGCGCCTGACGGCAAGCAGGGGAGGAGGCGCAGGTAACACACGTGGCTTGGCACCTTGGGGAATCAGGACCACATGCAGGCGCTGTCTGTGCTGAGCACCGTGTCGTCTGGGGAGACACAGCCCAGAGAGCACCTCTGCTCCAGAGCCGCCGCCGCCGTAGGCCCCGTGCCAGCCAGAGAAGCCTCTCAGACCACGGCCATCCAGACCTTAGGACGCAAGGCCCAGAAAGCGACGCACTGATGCCATCAGATGACAAGAGGAAACAGCATGCTGTGCTTTCTCCCTTTCACTGGACCTCAGGACTGTCATGCCTGCCTGTATCTGCGCATCTGACGCATTTACTTGCAGGTAAGTAAGTGCCATAAATCAAATGCACAGGTGCTGGTGCTCATGCCTGTAATCCTCACTACTCAGGAGGCTGAATCTGAGGATTGCAGTTCAAAGCCAGCCTGGGCAGGAAAGTCCAAGAGAACTCTTATATCAAAAAACTACTCAGGGCTGGGAAGGTGGCTCAGTGGTAGAGCGCTTGTCTTGCATGCATGAGGCCCTGGGTTCGATTCCCCAGCACCACATAAGCAAAAAGGAAAAAAGCCGGAAGTGGCGCTGTGTCTCAAGTGGTAGAGCACTAGCCTTAAGCTGAAGAGCTGAGGGACAGCGTTCAGGCCCAGAGTTCAGGCCCACGACCGGACCCCTAAAAAAACAAAAAACTACTCAGAAAAAGCCAGAAGTAGTTCTGTGGCTAAGTGGTAGAGTGCCAGCCTTTAGCACAAAGAAGTTCAGGGACAGCGCCCAGGCCCTGAATTCAGACTCCAGGACCAGGAAAAAAAAATCCAATGTCTAGGCTGTGTTCAGAGCAGGCCACCTCTTCCTAGAGCAACCTGCACACCCAGGTCTTCATGTCTGCCTGGGGACAGCAGCTGTGGCCCGGGCCTAGCAGGAGGCCTGGGACAGAACAGAAAGCAAGGAACTTCCAGGTAACAGCTCTGGGTCCAGGGACATTGGACCATCAGCTAACCCCAGGCACCTGGGCCGGTCCCATGCTCCCTCCCGTCCTGGAACAGCAAAGGCCCGGCGGCCAAACCTGCTGAGCAGCTCACCTGAATGGAGGCCCCAAACTTCTCGTTGCAGAGGCTGCACACCAGTGCCCAGCGGCTGCTGGGGATGTGAGACACCTTGGTGATGGGCTCCATCTTCTCCGGGCTGCCAATGCTCACCTGCAGGCCAACAGCAAGGGCGAACACCCAGCCATCAGAAGCAGAACGCGACGTCCTAGAGTTCAAGACCTGCCACTCTGAGGGCAGCCCTGACCCACACACACCCTTGCCTGGCTGACTCCTGCAGACGGCTACCTCTTCCCTTCCCACTGAAGAATGTGACGGCAAAGACCCTGGCATGTGGATAGCGCAGTCTTCCTCTGAACCAGTAACAGTTTGGTCAGGACGAAAAATCACCTTAAAATGCCTACATAGACTTTCAGTTTGGAGTGAGCAAATACAAAAGCCATTTTATCCATTTCCCAGTAAACATACTAGCTCATTCCACCAGAATGAAAAGAAGAATGATGCAAAGAAGAAATCCCACAGGCCAGATAAAACATCATCTCTGCCTTCCATCCCCCAAAGCCAGCAGACGGGCTGACCACAAACACAGGATCCCGCACCGCCTGCCCCCTGCAACGCCAAGCAGTCTGAGCCACACACGATCTTCTCAGAGTGGCACGGCCAATTAAATTAGTCAAGGTGTGGGACAGGAAATAGACAAAACAAACCCTGCAGTTAAAAAGGTTGCAGCTGAGTAAGAGTTTTCAACAACTACAACCTGCAGAAGTGTGGCCTGGTGTGTGGCACCGTCGAGGAAGGACCCCAGGCCAGGCTGGCCCTGCGCAGAGGGAGCAACCTGACCCTAACACAGTTCCCACGTCCCCACCCCAGGACAACATGGCGGAGGCCAAGCCGGCAGCGACTGGGAAGGATCCCAAGCCGTCCGGGAGGGTGTGCGGGAGTCACATACCTCTGGGATCCACAGGGCGCAGCTGACATGGACCCACTTGGTTCCGCTGCGGGTGGGCTTCATGGCACCCCCCTTCTTGGGACACAGCAGACATTTCGGCTCCACACCCAGGGCGCAGGTCCGGCACAGCCAACTGCCCTCTGGCACCTTGAGGATTCCATAACAGGCCTGGACAAAGCCACAGCACAAGGCAAAGGAGACAAAGAGAAACACGGTTCCTCTCCGAATGCACACACAGAGGTCCCACCAACGCTGAGATCCCAACCCTGGGCTGCGACCCCAGCAAAGGCGAAAGGCTTCTGGGCTGAGACATGAGGCGCCGTGCAGACCCCTGCGGGACAGCCGCTTAGCCCTGTACCTACGCCAGGCTCTCCAACGTGGCAGGGCCGCGGGGGACCCCTACCCTCGCCTCACAGAAAGCGGGAGCACAGGGCAGCAATGCACGGCCACACACAGGACAGCGAGAGTGGCCGACACAGAAGCCACGTGAGGAGCAAACAGACACGGAAGAACAAGACCCAAGGAGAATATTTAAAACAAAGCCTTGCACAAGATGGCAAAACCACCCGAGATAGCACACTGCAGAAATCAAGGTTTCACGGCTAATGTAATCATGACGGCTCAAGGAGTAAAAAGGCAAATTTGAGTAAGTTACCCCAACGGTACCAGAGGCCCAGAGAGCTTTAAAAGCCAAACTGATAAAAATGAAGTGCACAGAACTTCAGGGAGTCGGGAGTCGTGGCAACACAACGCTCCCTCCTCAGACAGCGTCTTAAGAACACCGACCCCACAGACTCCACGGGACCCGCACGCAAAGGCTGCTCAACCACACCTCGCGACGCTAGGGCCCAGACAGGTGCCACAGACAGACCTGGGCTAACACTGCCGGTTCCGACTGGGTAAAAACAAAACGAGAAGCAGGTCTAAGCTAGTAAGTATGGCTTAAAGACAAACCAAGAAGAGGTCACAAGCGAAAAATATACTAAACACAGAGATCAGAAAAAGAGCATCTGAAACTGAGCCCACTAGCCTTGATGTCCGTGACAAGTTTCTAGAACAGAGTTCTTAAGTTTCCAAGCAGACAAGTAAAGGAAGTGAGGAAAGTCCTCCACAGGTTACAAGTACCAGCAGCCAAAAGCAGCAATGGTGGCCACCAGGCCCATGATCACGGCTGACACCCGAGGAATTCACTGCCCAAGGAAACGCAGACAAATGGATGAGCTTCCCAAGACATGCAGAACAAGACCACAGACTCTGCTGAGCCGTGGCGGCAAATGGAGGAGGGCAGGTGGATCTCAAAGGAGAGGCTTGAGCCTCCTCCGTGACGTCACCCAATCTGTCTGAACCTCAGACCCGACAGATCCACGGGAAGCGCTTCCAGACTGCCTCTGAACCCCTACATCCCACCCATCTGCGTCAACATTCCAGGCCAGCCTAGACTAAGGTGTGTGAGGGCCTATCTGAACAAGCAAGCCAAAGCACCTGGGCTCCTGGCGATGATCTCGGTTCTGAGGGAGACACAGGTAGTGACCACGGTCCAAGGCAGCCCCGGAGAAAAGGCACGAGGCCCTCTCCAAAAATACCCAAAGCAAGCAAGGGGGCTGGGGTCTACATGACGCAGTATAGACCAAGTCCTGAATTCAAGCCTCAGTGCTGTGGGAGACGGCAGGAAGTCTGCTTTATCTATTCATACGTTCTGACCCCCAAAGCTAAGCAGAAGCCTATACAACCTCATCTACAGTCCCTGAAAATGGAAGAAACTGACCTGAGATGGGGATGTACCCTAGCAAAGCCCTGAAATCCAGCTGATGCTACTACAGGAACACTGGAGTAGGCGAACCACAGGCCCCGGCAGCCACCACACACAATGAAGACAGCAGCCAGCCCGGTGCACTGAGGACTGAGGGGACGGACCATGGGCTCTGAGGACTGACAGGATGGACCATGGACTCTGAGGACTGAGGGGATGGACCATGGGCTCTGAGGACTGAGGGGATGGACGATGGGCTCTGAGGACTGACAGGATGGACCATGGACTCTGAGGACTGAGGGGATGGGCCATGGACTCTGAGGACTGACAGGATGGACCATGGACTCTGAGGACTGAGGGGATGGACCATGGGCTCTGAGGACTGACAGGATGGACCATGGGCTCTGAGGACTGAGGGGATGGACCATGGGCTCTGAGGACTGAGGGGATGGACCATGGGCTCTGAGGACTGAGGGGATGGACCATGGGCTCTGAGGACTGAGGGGATGGACCATGGGCTCTGAGGACTGAGGGGATGGACGATGGGCTCTGAGGACTGACAGGATGGACCATGGGCTCTGAGGACTGACAGGATGGACCATGGGCTCTGAGGACTGACAAGATGGACCATGGGCTCTGAGGACTGAGGGGATGGACGATGGGCTCTGAGGACTGAGGGGATGGACCATGGGCTCTGAGGACTGAGGGGATGGACCATGGGCTCTGAGGACTGACAGGATGGACCATGGGCTCTGAGGACTGACAGGATGGACCATGGGCTCTGAGGACTGAGGGGATGGACGATGGGCTCTGAGGACTGAGGGGATGGACCATGGGCTCTGAGGACTGACAGGATGGACCATGGGCTCTGAGGACTGACAGGATGGACCATGGGCTCTGAGGACTGACAGGATGGACCATGGGCTCTGAGGACTGAGGGGATGGACCATGGGCTCTGAGGACTGAGGGGATGGACCATGGGCTCTGAGGACTGAGGGGATGGACGATGGACTCTGAGGACTGACAGGATGGACCATGGGCTCTGAGGACTGACAGGATGGACCATGGGCTCTGAGGACTGAGGGGATGGACCATGGACTCTGAGGACTGAGGGGATGGACGATGGACTCTGAGGACTGAGGGGATGGACCATGGGCTCTGAGGACTGAGGGGATGGACGATGGACTGAGGACTGAGGGGATGGACCATGGGCTCTGAGGACTGAGGGGATGGACCATGGGCTCTGAGAACTGAGGGGATGGACCATGGGCTCTGAGGACTGAGGGGATGGACCATGGGCTCTGAGGACTGAGGGGATGGACCATGGGCTCTGAGGACTGAGGGGATGGACCATGGACTCTGAGGACTGAGGGGATGGACGATGGACTCTGAGGACTGACAGGATGGACCATGGGCTCTGAGGACTGAGGGGATGGACGATGGACTCTGAGGACTGAGGGGATGGACCATGGGCTCTGAGGACTGAGGGGATGGACCATGGACTCTGAGGACTGAGGGGATGGACGATGGACTCTGAGGACTGAGGGGATGGACCATGGGCTCTGAGGACTGAGGGGATGGACGATGGACTCTGAGGACTGACAGGATGGACCATGGGCTCTGAGGACTGAGGGGATGGACCATGGACTCTGAGGACTGAGGGGATGGACCATGGGCTCTGAGGACTGAGGGGATGGACCATGGACTCTGAGGACTGAGGGGATGGACGATGGACTCTGAGGACTGACAGGATGGACCATGGGCTCTGAGGACTGAGGGGATGGACCATGGACTCTGAGGACTGAGGGGATGGACGATGGACTCTGAGGACTGACAGGATGGACCATGGGCTCTGAGGACTGAGGGGATGGACCATGGACTCTGAGGACTGACAGGATGGACCATGGACTCTGAGGACTGACAGGATGGACCATGGACTCTGAGGACTGAGGGGATGGACCATGGGCTCTGAGGACTGAGGGGATGGACCATGGACTCTGAGGACTGAGGGGATGGACCATGGGCTCTGAGGACTGAGGGGATGGACGATGGCCTCTGAGGACTGAGGGGATGGACCATGGGCTCTGAGGACTGAGGGGATGGACGATGGCCTCTGAGGACTGACAGGATGGACCATGGACTCTGAGGACTGAGGGGATGGACGATGGCCTCTGAGGACTGAGGGGATGGACCATGGGCTCTGAGGACTGAGGGGATGGACCATGGGCTCTGAGGACTGAGGGGATGGACGATGGCCTCTGAGGACTGAGGGGATGGACGATGGCCTCTGAGGACTGACAGGATGGACCATGGGCTCTGAGGACTGAGGGGATGGACCATGGGCTCTGAGGACTGAGGGGATCGACGATGGCCTCTGAGGACTGACAGGATGGACCATGGGCTCTGAGGACTGAGGGGATGGACGATGGGCTCTGAGGACTGACAGGATGGACCATGGACTCTGAGGACTGACAGGATGGACCATGGGCTCTGAGGACTGAGGGGATGGACGATGGGCTCTGAGGACTGACAGGATGGACCATGGACTCTGAGGACTGACAGGATGGACCATGGGCTCTGAGGACTGACAGGATGGACCATGGACTCTGAGGACTGAGGGGATGGACCATGGGCTCTGAGGACTGAGGGGATGGACCATGGGCTCTGAGGACTGAGGGGATGGACCATGGGCTCTGAGGACTGACAGGATGGACCATGGGCTCTGAGGACTGACAGGATGGACCATGGACTCTGAGGACTGAGGGGATGGACGATGGGCTCTGAGGACTGAGGGGATGGACCATGGGCTCTGAGGACTGAGGGGATGGACCATGGACTCTGAGGACTGAGGGGATGGACCATGGGCTCTGAGGACTGAGGGGATGGACCATGGGCTCTGAGGACTGAGGGGATGGACGATGGGCTCTGAGGACTGAGGGGATGGACGATGGACTCTGAGGACTGAGGGGATGGACCATGGGCTCTGAGGACTGAGGGGATGGACCATGGGCTCTGAGGACTGACAGGATGGACCATGGGCTCTGAGGACTGACAGGATGGACCATGGGCTCTGAGGACTGAGGGGATGGACGATGGGCTCTGAGGACTGAGGGGATGGACGATGGGCTCTGAGGACTGAGGGTATGGACCATGGGCTCTGAGGACTGAGGGGATGGACCATGGACTCTGAGGACTGAGGGGATGGACCATGGACTCTGAGGACTGAGGGGATGGACCATGGGCTCTGAGGACTGAGGGGATGGACCATGGGCTCTGAGGACTGAGAGGATGGACGATGGGCTCTGAGGACTGAGGGGATGGACGATGGACTCTGAGGACTGAGGGGATGGACGATGGGCTCTGAGGACTGACAGGATGGACCATGGGCTCCGAGGACAGGATGGACCATGGGCTCTGAGGACTGACAGGATGGACCATGGGCTCTGAGGACTGACAGGATGGACGATAGGTCCATGGGACTGACAGGAGAAGGTGGGCTCCAAGGACAAGAAGCCACCTGGGACACTGGAGCGGAAAAGCAAAGGAAGTGGTGCTGGGCCGAGGTTTTCTGGCCAATGAGAGGGTCTGCCCTACAGCCCCATTCTCAAAACTCCCTCTTCGACAAAAAGCCAACTCCAGTTGCTTAACGAAAGCCACACAGTCTGTTGAATGTGGACACTAAGGAAGCAGCTAGCCCTCTTTGGCGGTCCTAACTAGACCAGCCTTGGGCGGAAGGGTGTGCCCGTCCCAGGAGGTGGAGCCCTGCTCCCCGCGCACCCCCAGCCCACCTGGGCCCCGCGCGCCCGGCCGCCCCACCTGGTGCACACAGATGTTGCACTTGTCACAGAACACCATCTCGTTGCCGTCCTCGCCGTCGGGGGACTGGCAGACATCACACACCACGTCCTCGTCGTACTCGATCCCCAGCCCTTCCTCCGTCTCGATGGCATGGTTCATATTGTCGTAGCATCGCTGCTCAAACTCTTCCAGGACCCGCTCCATGGTGAACTCATCTAGCTCAGGCATTCCTGAAAGGCAAGATCCATGCCAGTAAGCCCTATCGGTGCACCTCAACAATTCAGAACCGATAAGGAGAGCACACCGCCTTCTGTGAACGCCTTCCACGGGGAAGCCTCTCACGAAACCATCCCCATTCTGGCTGCACACACAAACCTCAGAAGCAACAAGAATATCAAATACCCAGACTGTGAAATAAGCCGCTTCATTATACTTATTGCACCTAACAGCTAACATGTTAAGTTTCAAAACTGTGACCACAACGTATTATAGGGTTTGACTATTTGTTTTGGAATTCTCCTTTACCACTGTGCCCTGAAAGCAGACTTCCTGGCCAGCCTCTCCTCTGAGTTCCACCCACAAGAATGCATAGTTATTCGGATACGTGGAAGACAAACACGGGAGAGTGCAGAGTGGCAGACCGTGCAGTTGTAAACCACACTTCTGGCAAGAGCCATGGTCTTGGCTAGGGCAGGGGGCAGGCCCGTCTTCTATTTGCACATTCTCTAAACTCCTTACAATGAAAATATTTGTGCAGTTAAAAAGCTGGTTAAAAAACCACTCAAGGATACAAATGCTGCAGAAACGGCAAAGGAAATGACTGCAGGCTGCACTTACCATAAACTCTAAAACTATCAAATTAACTTCTCACACTTTCAACAACGTAGAGAACACAGGTGAGATGAGCCCCACATTTCCTCGCAGTCCCCTCCTCTGGCTGGAGGCGCTGGCCCCCAGTCCGCCCTGTAATGAACGTTCAGCACACAGGACTGCCGCCCTGCTTCCAGGCCTGCGGAGCCCCCGAATCCCCAGGCAGCACAGGCCTTAGCACCAAGGGAGCTAGGCAGCTGGCAAGGGCGCGGCTGGGCCCCGGAGCCACCAGCCGGCTGGCAGTGCCCATCCTCTGGTGAGACAGGGAGAGGCCACTCGCAAGGCAAGGTCTGGCTGCAAACACCGAAAGCAAAGGCTGAGGGAAGCAATCTCCTTGGTGAGGACAGCCAGAAGGGGCAGTGGTCAACGGCCGGGCCAGTGGCAGGTAAGCTTCCACACAGCCAGACAAGAGTGCCTCGGCCCCCAAAGCCCTGTGGCTACCTACTCCAGACCACGGCACAAACCTTGCATGGTCAGACGTGCCCTCCCTGCCTGACGGTGGCGGCCCTCAGGGGCCCTGAGCAGCAGGCTGGGCGCATGTGGAGACGGCACCACAGAGGCCCACAGACAGGAGGCTCCTGTGGCCACTGCCCGCAGTGAGGAGCGCGATGGACACAGGTGGCAGGAGACCGCGAGGTGGAGCTGGAGCCTGGCAGCGCAGCAGGTGGTCAAGGAGCGCGCCTGACACGGGACCCCAGGGAAGACGCCATAGTGCCTCCTCACACCACAGTGTGAGGAGCCGCCAGAGTGCACTCCGAGGCTGGCATACGCTCCTGCCCACGTGCATGCCCAACAGCCGCCCCTGCCGGGCCTTACCCATCTCCTTGAACTCCTCATTGGTCAGCTCCAGCCACGCGGCATCGGTATCGTTGAGATCATACCGGCACACACTGTCGGCCAGCGTCCGGATGTCAGCATAGCCCAGAGCTGGAGGCTCCGAGCCTGCGGAGACGATGTGCTTCTTCGGCCTAATGAACATGAGGGGCGTCTCTTCAGACAGGACCCTGATTAACAGAACACAGGGCACTCAACAAGTGCATCAGAAAACCCAGCTGCAGCTTCCTCCTCCTCCTCTCTCAGGTCCTCTCCCAGGTTCACACACAGCCCCAGTGACAGTGGAAACCCCTAACTAGATGAAAAACAAAGGCCTCCAATGGAAATAGGAGCCCACGTCCAGGCAGTGGCCCGGCCCCTCAGTGATGGAGCTGGGAAGCCAGAGAGCGAGGCCTCTTCTGCATGCCGCTGTGGGCCAACCTGCAGCAGAGCAGCCACCTGGCGGGGCAGAGACACCAGGACACACAGCACGGCCCAGGGAATCACCTGAGCCCGGGGCCTGCTCACCACAGAGGAGCGACTTCTCAGTGGGTCTGGAGAATGTGCCTAACAGCTAGAAAGGGCAGTATCTCACAAGTTCCTCCTCTGAAGCCCTAGCCAAACGGGTCTGCTCCTGCAGCATCATCTACAACTACAGCTAGAAAGGGCAGTATCTCACAAGTTCCTCCTCTGAAGCCCTAGCCAAACGGGTCTGCTCCTGCAGCATCATCTACAACTACAGCTAGAAAGGGCAGTATCTCACAAGTTCCTCTTCTGAAGCCCTAGCTAGACAGGTCTGCTCCTGCAGCATCATCTACAACTATAGCTAGAAAGGGCAGTATCTCACAAGTTCCTCCTCTGAAGCCCTAGCCAGACGGGTCTGCTCCTGCAGCGTCATCTACAACGCGTCCAGGCCGGACTGCTCTGCTTTCCAGTCACCCAAGAGAAGAGGCGGCCACAGGCGTCAGCCAGTACTCTCCCCAGGCTGTCCTGGGGCCCCGCCCCCCCCGCCCCCCCTCCCTCCCCACGGCGACTCCTACTAATCCTGCCGTGTGCAGGGCTCTGACCAGCTTCCCTTGTGCCTGGTGCAGGACGGAGCCCCGGCAGGGCAGGGAGGGCGCTACCTGGCCACAGGCTGAGGGATGGTCCCTGGGCTCACGGGCACCTGGACTCCCTTCTCCCACTCCTGTCTCCATGGGTCGGCTAGCACGTAGTACTCATCCGGGTTGAGCTGGTATGAGTCATGCAGCTTCATGGCGGTGATCAGGTCTGTTCTAAACACCTGAAGGAGGAAAAGGGGCACGCCGACGCTTCATCTTGTGCACAGCAGTTGGAGCTGCCACATGCCCACACAGAAGGAGCAGTTCCCTCACCCAAGCCAGAAGGCCAGAGGGCCAGCCCTGCTCCCTCTGCACAGGCAGCGCACGCCCAACCTCTACACACCGGGAAGGCTCTTGGAGAATCGCCTAACTTCTGTCAGACACAAACTCGCACCGGCCACAGACAAAGCCTGGCCTACAGGGCCGTCCTCACAGTGAGTGCTGCCTTGGGTGGTGGGGCTGAGGGCAAGGGAGAGGAAACCCCGCTTCACCGTGCTGCAGAGGTAGGGCCAACACTAGGCCTCTGAGATACCTGCCCAGAAAGGACTGGGGAAAGCAAGTGTGTGTGTGTGTGTGTGTGTGTGTGTGTGTGTGTGTGTGTGTGTGTGTGTGTGTGTGTGTGTGTGTGTGTGTGTGCGCGCGTGCGCGTACACGTGTGTGCACATAAGCACGTGTGCATACACGCACTGCAGCTCTTCTTGCACAGTCCCTTGCTGCTGGATGAGGGGACATATCCCCACCTGGCCAATGATGCCCCACAATGCCCCTCTCCAACTCCTCATCGCCTCCCAGAACCATGGCGGCCTCTAGCGGCATCCACGTCACAAAGCCAACCTGAGCTGCTGGCTAGAACTAACTGCTGGTTTCCTCCCACACCTTCTTCTCAGCCACTCATGTCTTAAGCTACCTAAGGAAGCCTGACCGGGGTATCAGCCCACCCCAAAGTTGTGTCTGGTGTCTGAAGGCAGTCCTCTGGGTACACAGGACAGGGGCGTGCCCTCGCACTGCTCAGCAGACCACACCTGGCACCTGTCTACATCCACGTTTCGTAATCTACACCTGCTGCTGACAGAGCCTCACACACTGGTGGTGGCTTCTACAATCAGTGTGCGAGTACAGGCCGGCCCTCCCCTCTCTGGCCATCATCTTCAACAGCGTCCTTCCAGAACCATCCTCACTCCCAGTCCTTCCACAGAACCACCCAGAGACTGAGCCCTGAACCCAGCACAGCCCAGCATCCTTCACCCCAAGTGGCCCCACAGGCCTACACAGAGCAAAGTCCACACAAACCGACTCCAAAGAAGAAAGAAAACCAAACTGGGAGGACAAGATGAGCGATGTGAGCACAGGCACCATCTCTACAGACTGGGCAGGGCTCTGATCTCCTCCAACAGAGAAGCCTCAGGTACACTAGGCTCAAAGCAGCACTGCACTACGGCAGGACATAGTCTGAGCTCCAGAAAGGCACCCACTTCTCAAGTGGGTGCTGGGCCAACGGCACCAAGTATGATGATCAGAAAGGCATCCTGGGTACAGGAACAAAAGGAGCTGCACAGATCCTCAGAAGCAGAGCAGGCCCCACAGGTCAAATGCACAAAAGGCCTGGTCACCGCCCTCTGAGTCACCCACACCTCCGCCCCCGCCCCAGTCTCAGGTGAAGGCCTCTGGGGGCAGCCTCCGTGCCCTAAGCACACACACACTGCTCAGGGGCTAGCTTCACAGCCAGCTCACTGCTCTGGGTCAGGCACTGCTGGGCTGACACCCCTGCCCTGGCCTGTGCCCCAGGCAGGCCCTCACCCCACATTCCTGCCTGGCCTGTGCCCCAGGCAGGCCCTCACCCCACACCCCTGCCTGGCCTGTGCCCGAGGAAGGCCCTCACCCCACACCCCTGCCCTGGCCTGTGCCCCAGGCAGGCCCTCACCCCACACCCCTGCCTGGCCTGTGCCCGAGGAAGGCCCTCACCCCACACCCCTGCCTGGCCTGTGCCCCAGGCAGGCCCTCACCCCACACCCCTGCCTGGCCTGTGCCCCAGGCAGGCCCTCACCCCACACCCCTGCCTGGCCGGTGCCCCAGGCAGGCCCTCACCCCACACCCGTACCTGGCTGGCGCCCCTGGCAGGCCCTCACCCCACACCCCTGCCTGGCCTGTGCCCGAGGAAGGCCCTCACCCCACACCCCTGCCCTGGCCTGTGCCCGAGGAAGGCCCTCACCCCACACCCCTACCTGGCGGGCACCGGGGAAGGCCCTCACCCCACACCTCTGCCTGGCCGGCGCCGGGGAAGGCCCTCACCCCACACCCCTGCCTGGCCGGCGCCGGGGAAGGCCCTCCTGTGCAGTGCTGTGGTAAGGCAGAGCATCACTCCACCAGAAGCAGCACAAGGCCAGAATCGGCCTGGAGTGAGCTCCCTCCCAGGCTGCCCACTGAGAAACGGTGGCAAGCAAACCACTCTGAAGTGAGTGCTTGGAGCCGAACAAGGCACAGAGAGAATAGCCAACCACAGCCAGCTGAGAGGTGTGAGAGGCGAATGGAAAACAAGCTCGGATAGCAAGATTAACAACAAAATGCTGGCCGCGCTGGCGGGGGGGGGGGGGGGGGGGATAAGAAACAAACTAGGGAAGAGCAGGGAAAGCCTGAAGCATGGAGCCCAAGACAAACTCCCAGGGTTGCACTGGTCTGTGGCCAAACAGGCCACAAACTCATGGCTGAAACTTGAGGCTGGCAGCCCCTGTCCAGCCGCCGGCCTGCTCACCTTCTGGCCAGGGGAGGGGCTGGGAGCCGGTGAGAGGGAACAGTTAACAAGAACAGTTGACACTTGTGGCACACTGCGTGACCGACAGAAACCACGCCCGATCCATAAGTATCACCACTGACCCCTACGAGAGCCCCGCCCTAGAGACACCCACAGGCTGCACTTGCCGGCAGCAGGCACGTGTGTGCACACATGCATCGTGATGTGCACGCGCGTGACACACACGCGACATGCGGGTACAACACGCACACACAATGTGACACACACGGACACACACACACACACACACACACACATACACACACGGACACACACACACACGGGACACGTGGGGCCACTAGGTACCTCGGAAGGCTTGCGATCCTCGTGTTTGGAGCAGGAGCTTCTCCTGTGCTGGGATCGAGAATTCTGGGACCAAGTAGTGGACAGGCCTATGGAAACAAAGGTCAAAATGGGATCCATGGAAGGCTGGGAGGGTCCACACCCAGAGCGCAGCGCTCATCCCCTCCTCTTCCAGCCGCGGCTCCGCAGAGGCACAAGCATCCCAGTTCCATGTGACGACCGCGGGCCCGCGTGGCACTGTGCAGACCCCGAGGCTCCCCAAGTTCCTGCCTACGGGCAGGGAGACGGCGCAGGCCCTGCTGCCGGCAGGCCCTGCTGGGCACACTCCTCATGGACAGATGGAACACGTCTTGCCGAGTCCCAGTAAGCTTTCTAACGCTAACATCACCCAAAGGCCTTACCAAAAACAAAAATTTTAAGAAGACATACAATTCAGCAACCCCTTTCACGTGAGTTTAAAACAATTGTGCCAGGCACCGGTGGCTGTAATCCTAGCTACTCAGGAGACTGAGATCTGAAGATCGAAGTTCAAAGCCAGCCCGGGCAGGAAAGTCTGTGGGATTCTTATCTCCAATGAACCACTCAAAAACTGGAAGTGGTGCTTGGCTCAAGTGGTAGAGCACTGAAGAGCGGAGGGACAGCACCCAGGCCCAGAGTTCAAGCCCCATGACCAACAACAACAACAAAAATAACTGCCCCTTCTAGCTTCTCATGAGTGTGCGTTCTCCCCTCCCCGGGATGCCCCGTGCCTCCCAGACTCTCCCCGTGGATCCAGGCCTCTGGAGTGCCAGGAAGGCTGGCACTAAGCCTCCCACAGACTCTCCCTGAGAATCCAGGCCTCTGGAGTGCCAGGAAGGCTGGCACTGAGCCTCCCACAGCCTCTCCCCATGGATCAGGCCTCTGGAGTGCCAGGAAGGCTGGCACTGAGCCTCCCACAGACTCTCCCCGTGGATCCAGGCCTCTGGAGTGCCAGGAAGGCTGGCACCGAGAGCCACTCCAGCTGGTCTTGGAGGCAGGCCTCTGTCCTGAAAGTTCCCCTCCGGCCCTTCTCTTCTGTGCACCTGTAATCGGTGGCGTCTGTACCCAGCACACCCAGGAAGTCTGTTAGACCTCCATCCTCCCCTCCCGTCTATGCTGGCCTCCACAGCAGACATCAACCGTTAGCTAGACAAAAACCTGTGCAGTTCTCACACATTGGACCGAGTACCAGGCCTACCTGTGAGCGCTCCCAGCTCTCCCCTGGACGGTCCAGCTATCGACTGAACTTCCAATTCCCTTCTCTCCACCCACCACGGCTTGCTGCTCCTCAGTAGCCACATAACCACGGGTGCAAGACTACTGCCGAGCTCCCAACCGTCACTAACTGCTACCATCCCAACCCACCATGCTGCCTTCCAGAATTAAGTCCCCAAAGAGCCCCAGAATTAAGTCCCCAAAGAGCCGAGTAACACGCCCCCACTGGGTGTGCACGCAGCTTCAGTGCCACACCCACTCTCCAGACCAAGGGACGCACACCTTCACTCCAGCCACACTGGACACCAACAGCTGCTGTGTGTCAACCATCCCTCCATAAAGCTACAGAAGCCTACCACCACGGAGACAGGCACTAACCATACAGTCAAAGAAAACTCGGTCTCGCAATGCACCAGTGGTTTATATAAAATCTACACATGGCCGCAAACCCGGGGAGGAATGGACAGGAGACAGGGCTCAGAGTAGCTGCCCAGCGTCCTGGGTCAGCAGCAGGCTGGGTGCCGTCTTCCTGCCAACTCACACTGCTATGTAAGAGTGACTGGCATGAGCCACAGAATGCAGGACCGAGTGCAGCCAACTGTTCTTCCACAGACAATTCCCAATAAATGTATTTTTCAAGAGCAGACAAAATTTTAACAGTGGCATCAGGAAGAGTCAGGTAGTCTTGCTTTTAGGAGATCCATCCCTGTGAGCCAAGGGATGAAAATGGCAGGCACAAGAGGGGAAGGAGGGCCAGAGGCCTCCTCCTGGAACGCGTTCCCACCACAGAAAGGCCCAGAGCCACTACAGCCGTTTGTCCTCACAACTCCAGCACCGTCTGTCCAGGTCACCCTCAACTCCCAAACAGAAATCACTGGTGTTCCAGTGTAGTCTCAGTACCTCGGAGGCTAAAAAGCAGAAGCCCAAGTTGGAGGCCACCCTGGGCTTTATTATAAAGACCCTGTTTCAAAGAAACACCCAACGTGGTGTGTCCTTATCATAGTCGGGGTGTAACAGTAAAAATAACCATTTTCATATTGTTAATTAGAAATACTCTGGTCTGAGAGACTGATTTATGCCGTAGTAAAGCATCAGGCATCTAATGTGTGTTAAGATTGTACCTGGTTGTGTGCTAAGACTATATCCAGTTGTGTGCCAAGACTGTATGTAGTGTGTGCAAAGATGTATCTTGACGTAGGCTAAGTCTGTGCCCAGCTGCGTGCTAAGATGACATCTTGACGTAGGCTAGGTCTGTGCCCAGCTGCGTGCTAAGACTACATCTAGTTCTGTGCTAAGGTCAGGTTTGGTTGGTACTGCACTTGTCTCTGTGATGCTGATATTTAAGTACCAATGATAAGAATATACAAGTGAAACTGCTTCCTTTTGCTCTCAGGAGAGATGCTGGCAGTCCTAAACATCGACAATAATGTCTAACTCATTTTATTGCCACTCGCGATGTAAGATTACTGCCGAAGTCCAATCTAGAGGCAGGCTTCTGTGGCTTCCAACACGGGGCATGTGCACTGCTCAGGAGCAATCCCACACTGACAACCTGCTAGTCTTGTTCTGACTATCCCAGCTCCACTGGGCTAGACCCTTTGGGAACTGCAGTTACACAAGTCCAACACTCCGAGCTCCGCCCTCTCGTCCTGTCCTTCAGACATCACCACAGCCCCTTGGAGATATTAGGACCTAGGTCAGGAGAACGCACACACCTCACACCTCACAGCCGTGTGGAAGAAGCCCCCCAACAGTGGGCACTGAACCCACACTCACGCCACCACACACCCCACCTGCCGCAGGGTGCCGTACATGTCAGAGCGGACACACAGGCCTGCCAGCCAGCTGCTCTGCCAGGAAGTGGCCCGCGTCGGCTCTCAGCCACAGAAAGCACTGTTGCTATTAAGACAAGGTGCCTGGGTTGGCCGCTGTCTGAACAGGGGCCGACCAACACCTGCCCTCGCTCTCCACTCCAGCCCACCTGACCTCCTGGTCCAACTCACCATTGGGTGCAGAGAACTGGCCCAAGAAGCTCAGCAGATTAAGTAAATGGGGGCCTGCCACCAAGGACACACCATCATCCCTCCATCACAAGTCCCAAGAGCCACAGAAGAGCAATCTGTGGAGGACATGCTCCGCGAGCCCAAGACGGCACACTCTGCCACAGCCGTCTCAGCCTTCCCCAGAGCATGGGTACGCGCCGTGCAGCACTGGGGCCACAGCCCCCCGCTCTGGGAGTGAGCCCCCGCCGGGCCCTGAGTGTCCACGCAGGTGAGGGGGAGGAGATTACAGCGCACTGCAGCAAGAACAGACCCCACTCTTCCCACTACAGACTCGCAGCGGGGTAACAAGCCCCGGCAGACAGCAGATCTGCGCAGAAGGCCGCGCTCCACTCCACAGGCGATGGAAGACCCCCGCCAGCCACTCAGTTCCCTGCGGAGGACATGAGTAGTGGGCTAAGGCTGCTTGGCAGGCCTGGCCCCAGACCCTCTCCCCGCAGAGGCCAGCAAACCTGAAAACCAGGCACCGGAGCCTGCCCCGACTCTAGGGGAGCTGCAGATAACCTGCGCAGGTCGAGCATTCTTTGCACAAGCCAAAGAACCCATGTTCCTCTGGGTCTCTGAAAGGCACCCAGTAAAAAAACAATCAACAAAAATGCCATTACATTTGGCTAGCTAACCAAAGCCAAAACCTCATTCAGGCAGGAAACTGCCAAGCATTATGTCGTTTTTATTTTTATAGAAAGAAGAGGCAAATCAGAGCTGTTTAGCCTCAAACAACCAGTAATACTTCTTTCTTAACAAGAGGAAGTCACATTTGGATTGCAGATAAAATGGCTCTAGGTTTGGGAAATACTGAAGGCAGCTGGCAGATCCATTCCACAGCTGCCAAGGCCCAAAGGACAGAGGAGCCTGGGCTGGATTAAAGGCTTGCTCCCCTGGTCCCCCCTGGCATGGTATGTAACTTGAGTGGGGCTGGGTCACCCAGTCCCAAGAGGCCAGCAACCACAGAGCCCATCCGCCTGAGGGGCTCCGGGATGCTGGGAGAAGGGTGGCACCAGGCATACAAGCCTGGGAGAAGGGTGGCGCCAGGCATACAAGCCTGGGAGAAGGGTGGCGCCAGGCATACAAGCCTGGGAGAAGGGTGGCGCCAGGCATACAAGCCTGGGAGAAGGGTGGCAGCGGGCATACACACACTAGGCCAGCAGATAAAGCAGAGCGCTCAGAACTGGGAAGGCGTTCAGCCCAGCCCCAGACCTCCTGACCCCGCAACGCCCTGTCCCCCACTTGGACTTACTCTGAGTGGGGCTGGGAACCCTTGCTCAAACTCTGCCAGGACTGCAGGCAGAAGCCAGTGCCCAGAGCAGTCTGAAACACACAGGGCACAGTGACCACCTCAAGTAGAAGGGAAAGGCACCCCAAGACCCCGGACACACAAGCGCACCTGAGAGGCTGCGTCAGAAGCCAGCCGGCGAGGAGCAGGTGGAGAAAGGGGCATTCCACAGCGTGGACACACAGGCCGGCATTCCTAGAGATCCTCACAAAAACTACTGGTTTTGCACGCTTGGTTACTACCGAGCCTGGACATGCAGCAGCCACAAAGCCCATCTACGCCTGTACTGGACCACCACACAAGGCCTGTGCCCCACTTCCACAACCAGCAAAGGACCAGAGCACAACTGGGCTTTAACCCCCCCAGGACAAACCCCTGGCACCCTATAAATGTTCACAAACCCCGGACCCAGAGTCCTCAGAGAGGCCGGCGACAAGGTATGAGGAAGAAAATGGCCTGGCCCTGAAAACTTGTTTTCAGGAGTCACACCTTTGAGATGTGACACAGACATTCTCTTTCTCCTTCCTTTCCAGCCAAAGTTCTGCGCAGAAATGAGGAGACTGGTTTGTTCTGAAGTTGAGTGTGAAGCTCTTTGCTGGCCTCAAACTCAGCCTCCTGAGTGCTGGTATTACAGGTGTGAGCTACCACACCAGACTAGAAATGCATTTCTAAATGAAGCACTTGGTCTTGTAGGGCTGTGTGAAGCCTCAACTCCTAGCATCTCGTGTGTGACTGTTCTTGGAGCAGGAACCTCAAAAGGTGGTTCTAGTCAAAACCAGCTGCTGGGGGGGGGGGGGGGCAGCCCACTGGGAGGGGCTTGCGGGGAGGGTGCAGGCGGAGGGGACACCAGCCGGCCAGCACTCGGGCCTTGGAGCTGCACCCTGGCCTGGCTGAGGCCTGCAGGCTCCACCCTGGGGTGAGGCTGGGAGGGGCTGGGCTGCATCACCTGCTGCACGTGGCTTCCACGTCCAAATTCATTAAAAATTAAGTGGAATTTTAAAATTCAATTTTCGTACTTGTACCAGATTAGAACACGCTATTCTAATAAATGCTGCCCAGAAAGAGAAAGGCTCATGTTTGAGAGAACATTCCAGAAGAATCTCTAGCTCCAGTCTTGCTTGGAGGAAATGAGAGCAAACACAGTGAGCACACTCCCTTCAATGATGACAAACGGATGTGTCCGTGTACACACATATACACGTCCGCACACAGGACGCTCAGTCCTTGCTGTGGTCATTCACAAAGCCATCTCAGGATTAATTCTAAACCTAAAGGCACAACTTTTTCTAAGCATTTCTGGAGGACTAAACTGTGCACTTGAACAAGCAGCAAGCATTTACTGAGCCCTTTGCTGATGAGTCGGGGAACTGCCATCCGAGGTGGAGAACCCCCCGGCCCGCCTGTGCCTGTGGCGTCCAACGTCCAATACAGTGAACGCTGGAGGAAAAGCCCTGAGACCAGCCCACTGGTGTGGCCAGACCCCTTCGGGGCCTGCTCCCTCCCCTGCCTCCCTCCCTCCCTCTACTCCAACAACAGTGAAGGCTCCCTGTGCTCCTCAGGGCTAGGCTGGTCAGCTTCCTGCACACACCTGGCACTGCTCTAACACCTTCCCAAAGTGCCAGCCAGAATTCCTCCCGACCCTTCCACGGTTCCCGCAGCTGTCAGGAGAGACACTTACCACAAACATCGTGCTACTCTACAGCGTTTAATCTGCCGATAACTTAAGAGACTAAAGGAACTGAAATTAAAAACCTTCTTCTCTTTGTCAAGTTTCCTCTTCAGTCTGTCGATATGTACCTAACACATGGAAAGACAGCTGAGAAACTGTCCTCGTGGTCTCAATCACAGCTGCTCCTACCTGGCCGAGCTGTATTTCCCCAGGCCCCTACCCACACACAAGAGCGCAACTGCATGCTCCAGCACTGTGCCAGGCACAAACCTCCATCCGCTGTACGAGAGGAGCTCTTCCTTCCCTCAGTAATCTGAGTGTGTCACTTCACCAACCCCTTGGCGTCCACCAATACTATGTGGGTCCACTGGCCCCACGTGATGCCCACCAATACCATATGATGGTCACCAACACCATGTGGTGTTCACCAACACTGTGACGTCCACCAACACCATGTCACATCTACCACTACCGTGTGGCATTCACCAATACCACATGGCATCGGCTGATACCACATGACATCTGCCAATATCATATGGCGTCCACTGAAACCATGTGGGCCTTCATCAACAGTGTGACATCTACAATGTGTAGCGTCCACCGACACGGCATGGCATTCACCAACAGAAGCCAGCTCACTCCAGCTGTGCTGTGAAGACACAAGGTGACCAGACTGCTGAGACACAGACCACACCGGTATCGAGACTACGCAGCACCCACTTCACACACTTGGTGTCACCAGCAGCCCCCCACCTCCCCGTAGACCCAGCCCAGCCTATCAGTCACCAGCAGCCCCCCATCTCCCCGTGGACCCGGCCCAGCCTATCAGTCACCAGCAGCCCCCCATCTCCCCGTGGACCAGGCCCAGCCTATCAGTCACCAGCAGCCCCCCATCTCCCCGTGGACCAGGCCCAGCCTATCAGTCACCAGCAGCCCCCCATCTCCCCATGGACCTGGCCCAGCCTATCAGTCACCAGCAGCCCCCCACCTCCCCGTAGACCCGGCCCAGCCTATCAGTCACCAGCAGCCCCCCCATCCCCCCGTGGACCAGGCCCAGCCTATCAGTCACCAGCAGCCCCCCCATCCCCCCGTGGACCAGGCCCAGCCTATCAGTCACCAGCAGCCCCCCCATCCCCCCGTGGACCAGGCCCAGCCTATCAGTCACCAGCAGCCCCCCATCTCCCCGTGGACCAGGCCCAGCCTATCAGTCATGACCTGGCTTGAAGCACCTGTGAAGCACAAGTTCCATGCACAGGGAACACAGACACCATGGTGACCCTGGGGACTTGTCTGCAGTCCCTGGCAGGGAGCTCTGCACACACACCTGCAGCCTCACACTGACACGCAAAGGGCCTCAGCCTCTGAAAGTACGAATGAAGAAGTCAAGTGTTACGCTGGCCCCAGCCCGGCCGGCTGAGAACAACAAAGCAGGACTCACTGCCATTGTCGTCGGAGTCCTCACTGCTGCTGGGAAGGCGGCCTCGTTTCATGATCTCCCAGGGCACAGCAGGCAGCCTGCAAGGCAAGGAGACAAGAACACACACGCGTCATCGGGGTGTGTCGGCCACCAGCACAGATCCACAGCAGACAACAGCCAAAGGGCCTTAGGTCGCCCTCCAACAGAAAATGGAAGAGGCACGTAACCGGTTCCAATCACTAACAGACCAGATGGAACAAGGGTATTGGAAGTGGGCCTCCTAAAGGCACCCGTTTCTCCCCTCCCTCCCTCTCAAAACATTGTAGCTACAACCAGCCCAGGAGGACTGCAGAGATGGCCCATCACTAGGAGAGCTTCTTCAGTCAGACCACTTTCTCAGTCAGGCTCCCTCACATCAGACCACCCCTACCAGTCAGATCCCTTCAGACACCCTCTCACAGACCATCCTCTCACAGTCAGACCATCCTCTAACAGTCAGACCATCCTCTCACAGTCAGACACCCTCTCACAGTCAGACCATCCTCTCACAGTCAGACCATCCTCTCACAGTCAGACACCCTCTCACAGACACCCTCTCACAGTCAGACACCCTGTCACAGTCAGACCATCCTCTCACAGTCAGACACCCTCTCACAGTCAGACCATCCTCATAGTCAGACACCCTCTCACAGTCAGACCATCCTCTCACAGTCAGACCATCCTCTCACAGTCAGACCATCCTCTCACAGTCAGACACCCTCTCAGTCAGACACCCTCTCAGTCAGACACCCTCTCACAGTCAGACATCCTCTCACAGTCAGACAATCCTCTCAAAGTCAGACACCCTCTCACAGTCAGACACCCTCTCACAGTCAGACACCCTCTCACAGTCAGACCATCCTCTCACAGTCACACCATCCTCTCACAGTCAGACATCCTCTCACAGTCAGACACCCTCTCACAGACCATCCTCTCAGTCAGACCATCCTCTCACAGTCAGACACCCTGTCACAGTCAGACATCCTCTCACAGTCACACCATCCTCTCACAGTCAGACACCCTCTCACAGTCAGACACCCTCTCACAGTCACACCATCCTCTCACAGTCAGACCATCCTCTCACAGTCAGACATCCTCTCACAGTCAGACACCCTCTCACAGACCATCCTCTCAGTCAGACCATCCTCTCACAGTCAGACACCCTGTCACAGTCAGACCACCCTATTACAGTCAGACCACCCTCTCAGTCAGACCATTCTCTCAGTCAGACCATCCTCTCACAGCCAAGTCCCCTCAGACTCCCTGACAGCCAGTCCCAAATGTCCTGTGTGTGCTGGGGAGGGGCAGGGCTTGTGCCAGACACTGCCTGACACCTGGGAGTTGGGTCATGGAAATGACCCCATCTGCTGACCCTCAGTGTCTGCACAGGAAGGAACCCTGAACCAGACCCCTCTCTTATTCCAGGAGTGAGGGCCAACCGGTTAGTCAGCAATTCTCCAAGGTCTCAGTGTGTGCTAAGAAGTTCTATTTCCATGCCCAATGCCCCCACTCATCTCAGGACAGGGACAACTGACCACACAGAAAGCCAGTCTTACAAAGAGCTGGGCCTTGACCCCTCTGCACAAAGGAAGTGGCAGCTGGGGTGGGCAGACTAGAGGGGCGTGAGTCGTACCGGTCCTGGGTGTTTTCTGCAGGGTCTGCACCTCGATGCCAGATCAATACACCCCAAAGGAAGGAGTACTGTCCTGTCTAAAAGGTACAAAGCCCCTCACCCACCCACCCACCAAAAGTCCTCACAGGGAATTGCACCACGTAATGTGGGCACCTCCGGTGAGGGGCTCATGTGTAGATGCTTCCAGTGAAGGTCACACCATGTGACGCAGAGGCCTCCAGTGGGGGTCACAACACATATGACGCAGATGTTTCTGGTAAGGGTCACAACACATGGTGCCGGTGCTTCTGGTCGAGGTCAGAACATGTGTGCAAGTGCTTCTGATGAGGAGCGGAGAACCACTGTGCTAGCACAAGACCCAGAGTTGGGCGGGGATATGTGTCCATGAAGCCGGTGGCCCTGGGTTAGATCACAGAACTGAAACACAGTACCCAGGAGCTCTAGGCCTCCCAGGCTGACCTGAACGAGGCATAAACTGCCTTTGTAAAGAAGATGTCATCTGTAACTGAACTTCCTCTCATCCACAGGTATCCTGTCCAGTCACCTTTCCAGAGTCAGTCTCTAGAAACAAACCCCCTTCTGTACACAATAGTACACAAGCTTCCCAGCCCACGGCCTTTCAGAATTTCCACTTCCCAGTCCACAGTCTTTCAGGATTTCCACTTCCCCAGTACACAGTCTTTCAGGATTTCCACTTCCCAGTCCACAGTCTTTCAGGATTTCCACTTCTCCCAGTCCACAGCCTTTCAGGATTTCCACTTCTCAGTCCACAGTCTTCAGGATTTCCACTTCTCCCAGTCCACAGCCTTTCAGGATTTCCACTTCTCAGTCCACAGTCTTTCAGGATTTCCACTTCTCCCAGTCCACAGCCTTTCAGGATTTCCACTTCTCCCAGTCCACAGCCTTTCAGGATTTCCACTTCTCCCAGTCCACAGCCCTTCAGGATTTCCACTTCTCAGTCCACAGTCTTCAGGATTTCCACTTCTCAGTCCACAGTCTTCAGGATTTCCACTTCTCAGTCCACAGTCTTCAGGATTTCCACTTCTCAGTCCACAGTCTTCAGGATTTCCACCTCTCAGTCCACAGTCTTCAGGATTTCTACTTCTCAGTCCACAGTCTTCAGGATTTCCACTTCTCCAGTCCACAGTCTTCAGGATTTCCACTTCGGTCCATAGTCTTTCAGGATTTCTACTTCATTCATGTGTCTGTGCACACCTGTCACCAGTACTACCAAAGAAGCTCTGCTTCTTCAAGGCCTCTGGAAATTTTCCAGAAGCACAGCAAACAACGTCTAAATGCTAATCCTCCCAAATACTTAGGCCAAGGATCCACATGTGCACCATTTTATATGTTCTTTTGAGAAACTCAACAATAAAAATGTTGGTAAGGTTTTAGAAGGATTTACCAAGAGATAAGTGAACCTTCACAGAGGTCCTTCCCCTGCTCCCCGAGTATGAGCAGGATGCAACGCCACAATCCACCACCCCAACATCAACCACCTGACCCTTCCTGCAAAACCTACCTGGAAGCCCCCCCCCCCCACTTGAAGCAAATGCCTTCCCCGTCCTGAGTGTGCCTGGATCACCAACCCCTGTGCCTCCTCCAGCTCAGAGAAGTCACCCTAGCTCCCTAGATGCCAAGAGGAATACCGCACAGTGCACAAGGGCCTGGCACCCCAATACCACTTGTATAAAAGCTCTAAACAAGCAGAAAATACTACCTAGAGAGGAATTCCTCAAAAGTAAGTATGCCCCAGCAGAGCAAAATCCAGCCAAGCTCACCACCTCACAAGTAGTGTGACAGCCATGAGAGCCACACTCACCTCACAAGCAGTGTGACAGCCACATGAGAACCACACTCACCTCACAAGCCGTGTGACAGCCACGTGAGAACCACACTCACCTCACAAGCAGTGTGACAGCCACATGAGAACCACTCACCTCACAAGCAGTGTGACAGCCACGTGAGAGCCACACTCACCTCACAAGCAGTGTGACAGCCACATGAGAACCACACTCACCTCACAAGCAGTGTGACAGCCACGTGAGAGCCACACTCACCTCACAAGCAGTGTGACAGCCACGTGAGAACCACACTCACCTCACAAGCCATCTGACAGCCACGTGAGAGCCATGCTCACCTCACAGGCAGCTGTGACAGCCACGTGAGCCACACTCACCTCACAAGCAGTCTGACCGCCACGTGAGAGCCACGCTCACCTCACAAGCAGTGTGACAGCCACGTGAGAACCACACTCACCTCACAAGCCATCTGACAGCCACGTGAGAGCCATGCTCACCTCACAGGCAGCTGTGACAGCCACGTGAGCCACACTCACCTCACAAGCAGTCTGACCGCCACGTGAGAGCCACGCTCACCTCACAGGCAGCTGTGACAGCCATGAGAGCCACGCTCACCTCACAGGCAGTGTGACAGCCACGTGAGAGCCACGCTCACCTCACAAGCAGTCTGACCGCCACGTGAGAGCCACGTGAGGGCCCAGCTCACTGCTCCTGAGCAGCTGCAACAGGCACGTGAGTAACAGGACACTGAACAGGTGAGACAGCCAGGCTCACCACTGTGCGAGCAGGTGAGAGACAAGTGAGGGCCACGTGACAGCCATGGGACACTGCCAACCGATGCCCGTACCATGGCTGCCTCGCCAGAGCCAGAGCCAGAGCCCGTGGTATGCCCTCTAACTACTCTCCCTCCCAAACTCCTTCATGCTAATCTTCACTTTCTAACCACTTCACTGAAATTAAGTTGGTGCTCCATTCTGCTCTGGAGTCTCTGAACTAGGTTTTATCTTACACATTGCCTGTGACATCACAGGCACATGCTTGAGGACGCACACGCATGCACACGTGTGCATGCATGGACACACAAACACATAAGCATGCATCCACACAAACACAACCTTCAGGTCAAACCAGGAACATTTGAGAGAGAGCTAGACAGACTGTGGGAAAAGAAAGGTGGGGAAATATGCTAACCTACCGTGTCATCTAAGCCAATCCAAGCATCTGCAGGGTAATTTTCAGATTTTTAAATGTTAAACCAGATGTTTTTAGACAGGACATACAAGGTTTCTGTAGATGTCAGACTCAAAACAGCGAATGACAATTACATACAACATGTGCTGATCAAAGTGCCCCTGATCTGAATAACTCTGTTCCTTGATTACAGAAACTATCAGTTACTACTAACAATGCCACGTCACCAGAAATTTATAAAGTTACTGCCTCAGAAAGAGCCAAACGTCCAACATTGTCTACTAAAAGCCCTAGATAGCACATTTACCAAAAACTGCAACCACCCTCACCTGAGTTACTAATGAAAACAAGCATTCCATCACAATCAAACAAGTTGTTGTTATCATGGTCTGAAAACTACTAGCAAGGCCCGGAAAGTACTTGCTGTGGCTAA